CAAGACACAGGGAATACAATGGAAACAAAAGAGGCAATGTGTGTGTGTGTGTGTGTGTGTGTGTGTGTGTGTGTGTGTGTGTGATGCCTGGTTCTACTTTTCCTAGCCACGTAACACTGGAAAGCTTGATGCATTTGGTGCATAATTCAGCTGTGTTGTATCTGTGTTCGCTCTGTGGGACGTGACATCAATGTTCTATGGTGATAACTGAAGTGTAAGAGGGACATGTGCAGTTATGTTACTCGTCGAGTATAGATGCCTCATGGCGTACCTGTTCCCACGGCTGTGATACCGTCTTGTTCTGATACTGTTACTTTTTTTATACATGAAATTAGACCAAAACATGTCTATTGGGATTTATTTAGGTGGACATTTTTATGTTAAGTTAAATACATTAGTTTAGTATTGTTTATCACGCAAGTCAACTTACAGCGCACACTTGGCTTGATGGGCACTTCTTGCGTACCATACAGTCAGCTCAATGGTGGTTCAATGGGGTTGAGATCTGGTGACAGCATACCAGCTGCCTGCTTCTTCCCTAAATAGTTCTTGCATAATTTGGAGGTGTGCTTTGGGTCATTGTCCTGTTGTAGGAGGAAATTTGCTCCAATCGAGCGCTGTCCACAGGGTACGGCATGGTGTTGCAAAATGGAGTGAGCCTTCCTTATTGAAAATCCTGTTTACCATGTACAAATCTCCCACTTTACCAGCACCAAAGAGGCCCCACACCATCACATTACCTCTGTGGTGGAAATAAACTCCACCATGCTTGGCAGATGGCGTCATGCACACTTTCAGCATCTTTTCACCTGTTCTGCGTCTCACAAAGATCTTGGTTCCTGTTTTGAATTCATAAAAATCAAGAGAAGCAGTGGATGGTAAAACCTAAATTTAATATTTTTTTTAATCTCATAGATATTTGAGTGGTCAAACTTAAAAAGTATATTATTGTCACCTCATTTTGTTTTAATTATATTGCTTCATGGTTATCTACCTGATGCATGTATAAAACAAGCTTCACAGACAAAAACAGTTTGAGTCATTACTCGTTGAAAGAAAAAACACTCTTTGATCGCAGGCTCTGTCTTGTAACTGCTTGATCTGATAGAAGGGACTTCTGCATCATCCATTCTGAAAAGCAGAGCAAAGTCTCTTGTCTTGTTGCCATCATTCAGTTACAATAACCTGGGGGAGGTCATGCTTCCAGCTAAAATGTGTAGAACATTGTCGTAGAACATTTTAATTGTAGCATACTTGACCTTAGTGCATATAGACAAGATGCACTATTTTTAGTGATAGTAATAAAGTAAAAAACGTAAACGAAAATAAAATGAATAAATGTACACAAATATGTTAAAAAAGACAAATCAACAAATTCAAACACAAAAATAATAATTTGCAAAAAGCATTCACAAATACATAAGCACAAATACACACATAACATAAGTCCACAGTGACATCAATAAAAAAAGACAAATCACTGCATATGCAAAATACAGGTATAGAAAAACAAACAGTGCATTTACTCTAAACTGAATTGTCATTTGGTCCTGCTGAAGATCCAGCCATGCCGTGTTTGTTGTCTAGGATTAACTTGGTATGACAGCAATAAAAGACTAGGCCTGGAAATTCAGGTCCAGTGGGATGCCATTAGATATTACCATCTGGCTAGTTGATCCACGGATGGCGGTGTTTTTACGGATAGATACAGTAACCATGCAGGATGGGACCACCAAAGGCTCATCTTGCAGCTGAATGGATAAAATATGAGAAGAAAAAATGCTGTCCAAAACAAGCACCCAAGGCAGGAAATGTGATAACAGTATTCAGGTTTTTATTTTGTTAGTGGTTGTGCCTCAAAAATAAAAATATACCCTTCTTTATGCAACTAGATAATTCCTATTCATGAGCAAAAATACAATTAAAGTGACCCAAAGATACATTATCAGTCAAAAGTTATTATGCAAACATGAATGCAACAATGGGAACAAGTACATACGATAAAATAAAAATAACAAAGAATAAACACATTCCTTGTGAATCAGGCTTGAAATCCTTCATAATCATTATAAACCACACAGTGAGACCAGCTCAGTTTTACATCATTTCCCCACGGGCTGTGGGAGCAGAGTACATGAAAGCCCTTTGGTCTAATTCTGTTAGACAAAGAGAAGAGGAAAAAAACTCCATGATCATACAGTTATTTACCACTGGAATTATTATTTTTTTATGGGCAAATCCAGGCCCAGTTTACTGAGAAAAGGGTTCCAGTGAACATGTTTATGAGGTACAATGACAGCGGACATACTCTGTATCAGTAATAAACCTGATACACAGGAGGAAGTGTGTGAATAATAATAAAACATAAACAATGTATCAATAAAGAACGGACATCGAGGTCACTCTATAATACAAAAAGTATGAAAAAACACTTGTCTAATCGTATTTTTTAAACAGTAATATACCAAATAGTGTGTGCGGCAGCCGGCATGTCCTCTCTCTCTCACATGCCTTTCCTGTCCGGCTCTCTCACTTTGAATAAAGCAAATGCCAAAACAATTTTTGAAAAAGTCCCGATATAGAAATGATAAGATTTGAATGTCTCTTTAGGGAACTCTGTCCTATCACGAAGCTTCCATGTAAAAATGTAAAATGTATGTAGAAATACAGATTTTCTTTATTAGTAATGTCACAGATAATGAGTAAAGCTGAGGGAGAGTAACAATATTTGCCAATGAAGTTTATCCAAGTGAATCAAATACAGTTAAGTAAATTATCTTCAGCTCAGATTATTGAAAACCACAGTTACTTGGCATTGTTTGGGACTTGATATGATTATGTCATGGATTTAAAAGATTTTTTGAAATGTGAAATTAGCATATAAAAGTAAAGTACACAGGTGTAACTAAAAAGGTTATCGACCTGCATGCTGCCTCTGCTTGGCAACTAATGGACAAAATCATTGTTAACAATATGAATTACACCTGTGGCATGAAAGATCTGCGTGTGTGCCATAACAAAGGGGCATGCTTTGGGGTTATAAAGGCACCTTATGGCAAGAATCATTTCTGACTCATCGTTCCAGTTTTGGCTGTGAGACAATCGCTACAGAATCACTTCAATGCATAAAGAAAGAAGTTTAGTGGTGAAAAAATAGAAATATCCTAATCTCATTTATTTTGAAAAACAAGGTTGTTATTTGTCATTTCTTGACTTCATAAAACATAAGACCAGGCCATATACTTATAATACAAACCTAGAGAGCAGCGCCTCAAGGCAACAGTGTGGTTAAAATAACTACACTTGATTCATATTGGAATCTTGCAGATTTACATGTGTTATGTAATACAATTCATACGCATGCTAGCATAATTAGACATAGCTCTATATTTAGACATAATTACCACATTAAGGAAGCATGCAGTGAGTGCAATCATCTCAGATTGTAGTCTCATGAATACAGAAGTGATCCTGTACACCTGATCATTTCCAACACCAAAGTATATTACATTTACAACCAGCACGGATGGTATCAAACCTTGTTTGGTCTTTTGTGAAAGTGTTGTAGGAGGTTCAATATTATGTCACAGGAATAGCTGGGAAGCATTCATATTCCACATTGCATTAGCTGTCATCACAGAGCTAGAACAGGGCTCAGCGTGAGAATAAGCACTGCTATGTCCCTTGAACTGGAGGCCGGCAGAGCAGGCCATATCCACCGTGACAAAAGACGGACTTTACTGGATTCGTGTGAAAAGGGTAAGAGAGCTCCGGGCTGACGGGGCTGTGGTTCCTGTCAAAGGGCTCGACAAACGAGCACTCCCTGACAGGTTTCTGATTTACAGTCGGTGAAAAATGGTGAGTGAATATTTTATTGAAAGCCTGCCGTATGCAATGGGCTGGAGTGGTGACAGACTGCCAGACTCAACTTATACAATAACACGCATGTCCGCATGGGCGCTCAAATAGCCTGAAAAACATGATGAGAGTACTAAGGATTTGTGTTTATTTATTTGCACTACAACACAGCTTACTACACCGTTATGTTGTCTCTTGACACTTCCTCTTCCTTCAAAGGCAAAGACATATTTAGCTTCCAAAATACTACTTTTTTTCTGTAGATTTCTCTGAACCAAGTTAGTATTGCATAATGTCTAATTTGTAAAACCTTTCAGAAAACTGATTCAATTAAAAAATGATTTGCCTGATAAAAAATAATCAACAGGCGGAGTTTCATTTTAAAATATGTTTGATATTTCTTGACCGTATTATGTGTATAACCACATTCCATGGAATGGAGTTCTGGAGCAGCTGACTTTTAAGAAGGCCAGCAGCGTGCCGCTGGACCCAGGGGAAGTGGTGGGAGACGGGGATGATGGCTAAGTTATCATTCATGATGGAGAACACCACGTCATCTGACAAGAAATAACTTTTAAAGGAAGGTTTTGCCAAAGTCCTCCACTTCAGTAACACTTATAAACACCAACTTTTCTAGTTTAATTCCCTTCTATATTATGTAGGTTTTTACAGGGCTTGTCAGATATCAATCTAGCCTGATTTATTCTGCATTTTATTCCTGAATAATCTGGTGCAGATGGATTTTTTGTGTCTGTTATGTATTTTCCTTATGGGGATTTCCAAAAGTCTGTTATTAAAACCTTCAACTCTATTATGTAAACAAAATAAAACACATATTTTTAACTTGGCTATATCCAATGTTCAGATTTCTGTTCATTTTGATAAAACGATGCCTTAATTGCATATGTAAACATCGCAGATGTCCCAATGTAAGTGATCAACCGGGTGGTTTCCCTGGATGTGCTCCTTTAATTATGCTTTGCTTCATCTCCCTTTCGCTGCCTTGCTGCAGTATAAGGCCACAGTGGTAAAAGCCTCTCACGCCGTGTCAACCATAAATTCTTGTCCGTGAATGATGCTCACGGTAGCTATGGAAACCTAATATAATACCTCCCCCCTCCCTCCCTCCCTTTATCTCCCTCCCACTCCCTGTGTTTCTCTCCCTCTCTCCAACCACACCAAAGCTTCTTTGGGCTACTTTGCGCATGTACGGCCAGTCAAACAAGCACTGCATCGACTCCAAGATGGCGAAAACACGTCTGGTTTGCCTCCTGACTCTCCTCTCAACTCACTGTGAGTACAAAAAACACGCAAACTCTCCCGGGGAACGTGGCCGTGGAAAACCGCTTACTTACTACGATATTTCTCACCAGCGTCGGACAAATAAAATAGATTGTGCCTCTGAAAGTGTCCTCATCTGGGCGCAACTAATTAACTAACGTTAACTAACTAACAGACTGACAGCGAGACCTGTCTCCGCGCCGTGAAGTCAATATAGTTGTTAGTTCTGTTTACCAAATGGAAAATAGAGTCGCCATTTTTGATACAACTTAACGCACCGTCAACGTGACTGGTGAACGTGCGGGTCGAGCGACTGTTGCTCAAATCCATCCTTCTGTTTCGCAATTCTAATCGGAGTAAAGCGGCGAGATGTTGCCAAAAAAACCCCAAAAGTATCTGAATGTAGACACGTGTTCGCTTTAGCGTGACTAACTACGCGAAGTGTTCGGCTCGTGTGTCGGTTCGGTCGGCGGCGGGTTTCAGGGTCCGCCGGAGCCGCCGCGGTCGTCCGTCGCTCTCAGAAAGTTGCCCCGTCAAGTTCGGAGAGAGACTTCGTGTTTGTGAATTAAATATGATTCCAGGCAGCTTCTTGTTATTTATTTTTTCCTCCCCCCCCCCCCCCCCCCCCGTTTCCCGCGCCGTTAACTATTTAGCGTTGGTTTTGGGAGCCGCGGTGGTGGCAGAGATGTAGGAAGCAGTGATGCGAGATAACGGTTCTTCTTGCGGCGGAATAAAGCAGGCTGACCGCGGGAGGAGCCAGCCGGCCGGCCGGGCCACTGAGGGTCCCTCTCCCCCCCCACCTCCCCCTCTCCCTCCAGACCCGCACCAGGGCTGCGCCGGTAAACAGAAACAGCCGTCGGAAAAATCGATTCGTTTCGCCATCCCGCCCTTAAAGACCCCCAATCGGCCCCTCGGGGAGCGGACCCGTCGTCGGACACCTGAAGAGCGTCGCGCTCCTTTTCCATTTTAACACGCGAGACGAAAATCTCGGGATACTTTGAGCATTAAGTTACGTGACATGTTTGGACGATATTTTGAGGAAAAGCAAAGCTAAATCCTTTCTCAACGTGTAAAAAACACGTGTACTATATTCAATTATTCATATCCTAAATAATAAAATGCCACTTGTTGCTTGTGCTATGTTGTCATTTCTTTTCTCTTTGCAGTTTCAGCAGCTGCTGAAAAAATCCACCAACCTTTATAATACTACAGCATAAATTTACTCTGCGTTTAGATGAATTTGCTCCAGGTTGAAAAAAAATATTCTCCACATAAAGCGATTTACCCGTCATTGCTGATACCGACATGTGTCCCCGGCCTGTCCCGACATATATTGTCCTTAACTAAATACCTGCTTTCTTTTTCCGATCATAATTAGGGCTTGCTGGGCTGTTTCTCTGGCCTGTACTTTAAAATTCAAGTATATAATCAGTTTAACAAATGTTTTCTTGAAACTAACCTCTCTTTCCCCGTTCTAGCATGATCTTATTTATTATTTTATCACAGTTTTGGTATGATGTGTGTTCATTTTGCCCTCGCTGCTATGTGGACACGACTTAAGCAAGGTGTGAGAGAACAGACTGATCAAAGAGAAGCACAGACATGAGAATCCTCCTGTGATCTCTCACGTGCGCCGATTGGCTTATTCTCTTTGCTTTAATTAGGAAATAACAGCGGAGCTCGTTGGAAATCTGTTGCTGTGTGTCTCTCGTGACTCACCTCCAGGCTGTGTGCTTTCATTCGTCCCCCTTTTTTTTTTAAGCGATACATTTCAAAGTCAGTGTTCCTAATGATGTTCCCCCTTGGTAAATCTGTGACATGGCAGCAAGGGGGTGGCATGGGATGTGGGGGATGTGGGGGAGGGGGCGGGAGGGATGCAGTGAGCTGGTAAAGATTTAAGAATGTCTTTTGTCTGGCCTGGACAGGGCTCAGCCATGTGGTCCGACTGGCTCTCAGCCGGCATGGCCACTGTCTTTAGAATCGGGACAAATCTGGCTAAACTAAAGCTGGCCACAAGCGGTGAACTGCTACTTGGTGCTGACGCTAATAGGCGCTAACCGAAAATGGAATTTGTCTCCCAGATTCAATCCCTGATGTTTCACAAAGCGAATAAGGAGCTCTGCTGAGGGGATGTGTCGTCCGTCGTTGCTTCTGTCTCGTGATCGTGCTTGTTATGTTAGCAATCGTTACAGTCATCGTTGACAATTGTCCTAATTGTCCTAATGACCGCCCAACGCCAGCCATTCCTAGTGACTGTTGAACCCGGCCAACTGAACCCAGACAGCAAAAAATGTCCTCCCCGGTCATCTGCCGGCGGAGCGAAAGACGAGGGCCTGTTGTTATTTTAAGCACAGTGGAGACTTTCCAATCGGATTCAATAGAATGCGTTGACATTTTCCATTGTTCGCTTCACCTGAGCCGTTTCCCTAAAACGATTCCAGAGAAAGCAGTACACTCACTTTAAAGGGAAGTCTGCCAGAACCCTCTTTGCCAACAGCAGGGCCAAGATATTTGGGTGCTTGGAAGATTCTTGCGGTGGATTAGTTCGGAGTAAATATAAACTTTGAGATCACCGCGCTCATATAAGAAACACCTGTGGACAGCTCAGACCGATTTCTTTGGAAACTACGCAGATCGACATCAGAAAAGCGGTCCTACCTAAAACATGATTGTGAAGACGTGGTCAGTGACAATTATTCCCTGTGAAAAGCAATTCTGTTTTTAGGCTCAATTGATCCGTTTTCACACTTTGTCCCCTTGGATGATTGACATTTTTATGACATTATCTCTGCGTTCACTCATGGCTGTCGGCCTAATCCAATTGGAGCCCTCTCTTCATCTGAATGGATAAGATAAGGCTAGAAAGCCGTATGCTGGGTGGCTGTGGAGCGTATCCCGTGCTCTCTGCTGATAAGCTATTGCATCACTTCAGAGAGCTTTGAGCGTCCTCTAAACCCGCGGAGAACCGGGGTGGTCATCAGGCGTCGTCGCTCCTTAAATATTTTCCCACATCTGGCGCCAAGTGTCGGCACTCCTGACGTGGTTCTGCGTCTGTGGCAGAGGCACCCCGCCCTGCTGAGTTAACCGGGGTTAGTGGCTCCCCGAGGAGGTGCATGTTGTCAGATGTTTCCCTCCCCAGCCAAAGCTTGCGAGCAAATGTTCAGAGCACTCTCCGAATGGCATTCGCGGGGCCTGTGGGCCAGTCGGATCGAGTCTTGACATTTGACTGCAGAGACGGTAAATGGCAGAGCCATAACGCGACAGACTAACAGACAGAAGTCCCTCGCTGCCGTGAGATTCTCGTCTCCAAACCCCCCTCCGAGTGAGCGGCGTCCGTGCCGTAACGCATTTATCATGGTTGGCATTTTGGTCTCAGCTCAGATGGCACGGAAGGAAGGAGTTGTTCAGTTACCAATGAGCTCACTGCCTAACCGCGAGTTGTGTGATTTAGGGTTGTGGTGGTCTTTGACCTAATTAAAAGTGACTGCTAACACACTGTGTATGGAGCTAGTTAGCAGTCAATTTAGTTCATCAATTTTCTAGTTATTCCTTTTAGGCTCATTGTAACTGATTGATTAAATGGTAATAAGAATAACACAAATAACTATTAAATAGTGTGAGACTGAATACTATATCTTCAGTGATAGTAATAATTCCGGAAAGAAATGTCACACCTTAATTGGTTTACTTTACACAAAATAAATCCCACCCTTTTGTAATACATTCTTTGAATGGCTGCAGTCAGCCATGTGGGCTGTCTGCGCAACAAGCGTCCCTCCATGGGATACACGGCCCTCACTGTGGAATGACCTGAAACAGCTGAGCAGGAGTGGGCGGCGGTGTTTTTGGAGCAGCATCGCGGGCGTAACCCCCGAAAATATCTGCCTCGTCCCTCCCAAACCTGAGTTAGCAAATGCAGCATTCCAAACAGAAAACACATGGAGGCCTCCTCGTCATATGCGCGCTGACTAACAATCACAACCACCTGTTTTCCTCAGAGGTTAAAAAAAAAAAAAAAGGAACCCCTGTTGACAAGTTGGCCGAGATCAGGTCTGTGAAGAAAGCTCGGCAGTGTTCAGGAAAACAGCCCGGGCGGGACGGTGTGTCTCCTGAGACAGACATTCGTTTTAACTTGACGAATAGGAGGATTCAGCACTCCGTCCCGATCCTTTTCCTTTCTTTTTATTTTGCTCACAGTGAGCTACAGCAGATGCTGAGGTCCAAAAGCAAACACCCACGTTCCAGAAACAGCCATGGCATGTGCATGCTTCAAATGTCAATACGACTGCCATGTGAGAGGACCACCGGTCGTAAAGTAGAACTAGCCTCCGGGCAGCACATACCATCCAAAACCGCCACGTGAAAACAGCACAACGGTCGTACCGAGCGGGCTTTGCTCACAAAAGGACACAAGGAGGGATTCATAAGAGAATTAGGTTGATTGTCATCCTGTTTGGAGTAATGACTGTTTGGAAAGTGAGCGCTCTTCCTTTAAGAGAATACTTTAAGTGGTATTTGTTTTGACAAGACATCATTAGAGTCGATGTTTGGGCCACTCTAGATCAACAGGATAATCTCAAGACGCCTCAGTGCTGGCTGCCCGAGCTCGGGCAGCACGAGAGAGGCTTGTTGTCCGACGATCTCCGTCTGTGGTCACATGGTCGCCGGCAGCTCTCCCGCTCGTGCGTCCACTGGCCACTGATGAAGCACATCAATAGGTCGAAACCAGAGCGCCATCGATCAAACATCGCCTGTCAGCTCGGTGAAATAATTAGGGGTTTTGTTAACGCCGCGACGAAGGGGATGAGCCGCATGTGGCCGAGCGCACGGTCGCTCTGCAAGGGGAAAAAACTGGAGGCTGCGCTCCCGCTGAGAGTCATGACCAGATAATCGCTCTGGATTCATCTTTTTGTTTACCGGGCCGCAATAAAAGGGCAATTAGCATCTAAGAATAGCCCCTGGGCAGAGTCATCTGACGTCCTCAGGTGTTTGATCACAGCCCGTTGCAGACC